AGTACCTGGCTGGGTTCTATGAACATTTTTGTAAAGGAACTAGATTCATCGAGTGTGTGAAGATATAAACGAGGTTTGATGTCTCTCGTTCCCGACTACGTAACAAAGAATTGTTTGTCTCACATGACGGTTTACTCTTGGAGTTGCTCTAATGGTTCCTCTGTAAGGGTACAACTCCTGTTTACTCCCTCCGTATAAAAACATAAAATGTACTTTTTGGACATGTTTGTCCATAAATATACTATGTATTTCAGATTTGATGTACAATAAACGCTTTGCTCGTTTGCCCAAAAAAATGTTCGTTAAGGAAAAAACCCCACTTTGCTCTCTGTAACCCCAGTCAATATCCATACTAAATGTTATCTGTCTTGTGACAATGATTCAGGTTACTGTAGCAGTTCAATGTTTCATTATTTTAGAGCAAGATATTTCCAATATTCATATTATTGGACAGCAGGACTATAACTATATGCTCTCTCCATTTTTCTACTTGTTGTATTAGATTTTTCCTAAGTCCAACATTCTTAACTTTGACCATCAATCAATTTCAAAAAACAAGATAGTTTCAAATGTGAACTATATGGTATAAAAGTATTTATTATAGTAAATTTAAAAATATAAATCTTATGGTATCAATCTATATATTTTAAAAAAAAAATAGTTAAAGATAGAAATATTTAACTTAGAACAAAACTAATATGACATTAAAAAACAAAGGGACTATATATATCTCTAATCAACATCAACTGTTACCACGGACCACGAGTTTACAGCAACTACGTAGTAATACTTATTTAGACCTGATATTCAAAGTTGAGAGTTTCACCGCAACTACATAACACGACATTATTTATACGATAGCTTGAGGTTGCAGTAATGCACTTCGTCTTTGAACAAAAAAAACCTAGATCCAATGGCTCTCTTCGCTGGAACTAATTAGCCGTACCATTTTAATAAAATAATAATATTTTTTTCTCACAGCAAATCAGCATCAACCGTTTTTTCAGCCAGCAAAACAGGGCAAATGATACCTCAGTTTCCTGCTACTTACAACATGTTTACTTTATTTTTTTCGCAATAATGAGCTTGTTCGCTGGTTGGTTTCTAGGCTGATAAGTCCGGCTGGTTCTGGTTTGTCGTGAGAGGAAAACTCTGTTGACTAGCTGATAAACTCTGGCTGAAACCAACAAACGAACAGACTAAATAAATAAAATGGTGTGGCTAGCGTCCGGACGTCTGGAGGCTAGCTCCTGTCCGGACGCACGCGCCTGTCTGCCTAATGCGCATGCAACTGCTGCCTGCCCCGCTTTCTGCACGCGCCCGCATGCGCCTACTGCTGCTACGCGCCTACACATGCCGCCTTGCCTGCTGCGCATGCTGCTGCTACCTGCGCTTGCATGCTCCTGCTACACGCACCCGCATGTGCCTGCTGCTGCGTGCATGCACGCCATGTGCTGGGCATGCACACGGGGACCGCCTCTGCTTGCACTTGTTGCCCGTGCCCGGTAATGAAAACACTTGCGACATGAAGCACTTGCTGCAATATACGTCTGAAACAGATGAAATATTTAGAAACATACGCTTGCAACATGTGTATAGCTACTGCAACATATGCAACATCCTGATAAAACACTTGCAGCATATTTATGAGAATAGCTGAAACATTTGAAACATACACTTGCAATATACGTGTATAGTCATTGCAACATATGCAATTCTAGATAAACACTTACAACTTACAACATGAAAACACTTGCTGCAAAATAAGACCGAAATATTTAGAACATACCCTTGCAATATGTGTGTGAAACATATGCAACATTCAGATCAAAATGCTTGTAAACATGCGTCTGAAACAAATAAATGCCCTGTTCGTTTGGCTGATAAGCCATGACTGAAAGTAATGTTGGCTGATTTGTTGTGAGAGAAAAATACTGTTCGTTGGCTGAAAAAGTACGGCTTATAAGCCAAGCGAACAGGACGAAAATATTTTGAACAAACTCTTGCATCATGCGAAACACTTGCAACATATGCAGCATGTGCAACTTCCCGATCTACTTTTGCAACATCACATGAAGCACTTGCAACATACCTCTAAAACATCTGAAACATACATTGCAACACCCGCTTTCAGCGCAACGCAACATCTCCATGCTACTTAAGAGAATGGAGGCTCATTGACGTGTGGAGTTCACCGGAGGCAGCGGCCCAGCGGTGGCTGCATGACATGGCAAGGAGGCAGTGCCCGCACGACTAGGAGAGGGAGCCAGATCCGCCGAGGAGCCACTCGTGCCAGCCGTGCCGCGCTGGTCCGCCCATGACCGGGGCCTCTAGCGCCGTTGCGTCGTCGTGTCGAGGGCCGCTCGGGCCTCCTCGTTGTGGTCCACTCACCCCGAGGCCGCTGCGCCGTTGTGCCGAGACGCTCGCTCGCACCGCAGAGAGAGAGAGAGAGAGAGGAATGAAGTAGCGGTGGAGGCATGAGAGAGGAGCGATGGCTAATAAGGCACGCATGCAGGCGCAGGCGTGTCAGGGTCAGGGTACAGGCATGGGTAGGTTGGGTCGAGGTATAGGCACGGGCAGGGTACAGGTACAGGCGCGGTGCGGGGCTTGTAGGAATCCTTATGTGTTTCTCTATCTTCCACACGATGGGCTGCTTTAGCATGCTCCGCTTTGCTACAGTGTTACTATCATCGCCTCCTTCGAGACCTCCTAGGGCGAAGAGCTCCTCACACTCAATGTCCTCCAGGCCCTCGTTGTCGATCGCCTCCAAGACCTCTTCATCGATGCCTCTCTGACCTACTCGTTCATCCCCCTCCCCTTCCTCTCCAAGCTCCATAGTGTCATCGTCTCCTCTTATGCTACCTTCCACTATGTCTTAGCGCTCAGCCCCATTGCCACCACGTTCGCTAGGCCTCCATGCCTCCCTCACCCCCTCACCCCACATTGGTCGTTGTTGTCCTCCGTGCGGCTAGCTTGGCCTCCCAGCCAATAGGGCAGGTCAGCTGGTGGCCAACTGGGGACAAATACAATGTTGTGCCTCTGTTCCCCACCCCTCCACTCCCGCGTCATCATCCCCATCCTATTTTGCCGCCAACATCGATGCCACCAGGTACGATACCATCGCTGACACCTAAGTCACCAGCCTCTAGCCCCTCCTTCTCTCCCCCACCACCACATTCAAGGCGCTCACCTTTGTCCATGCCTCCATGGGCCTAACCAATAGGCCTTCGGCTAGGTTGAATTGGTAGGTGGTTGTGCGGCGTATAGAGTGAGGAGTAGGATAGGCGGCTGCGTCGCAAGCGTGCGGGACAAAGAGGCGGTGCCTCGATGGATGGATAGACAGTGCACTGAGATGGATGTGGGGCAGCTGCGATGGTGCACAGCTAGTGACAAGCGGTGGCGGTGGGTTGCGTGTAGGGCGGTGGCATGCAACGAGGCCCCTAGAGAGGTGCGACGTGGGTGGATACTGGCCATAGGGGCACGGTGGATCTACGGGGAGCAGAGGCTAGGGTGACAACGACACTCGAGGCTCATGCGTGCGCACGAGCAAGACGAGACACCATGAAGACCAGAAAAACTGAATAGGAGCACGCGCACGACCTAGTTAACAAAATGGGTCATGCTCGCCTGCGTGCTCCCCGCTAACACCGTGTACTGGCCTTTCACCCTCTTACTCAACCCACGGCTCTCGCCAGGTTCCTCGCCGACTACCTCGCCACCGACCTCCTTGACCGTGCCATCAAGACACTCCACATCCTCTATGCAACATCCGTCACGTTCGCATCACTCCAGCACCGGGCCAAACCCCGAGTCATCGTCAACCTCCTCGTTGCTAACCGTGCACATTGCCAATTCACCGGTGTAGCCAGCGACCACACAGGCACTAACACGAGCATGGAGGGCGGTGGCGGTGGCACAAGAGGCATGGAAGAGAGGGGATAGGGTGAGAAGAAGGGTCTAATTGCATTTTGTAAATCCCTCCTCCACATTGGCTACTGATTGTACATGTCAGGTCAAATCTAAGGGCCAAAACGAAGAGGTATGGGTCTACAGAGAACCGCTTGAAGAATTTATAGACCAAGAAATGCAATTTTAGAGCTGATGAACCTAGATGATATCCCTCAAAAGTTAATGAATCTCCGGTGCGTTCTCCATATAATATGCAACATTAGCAAAGCCACCTCCAAACCACCCTAATGTGTTATTTAGACGCTTTTTAATATTTTGAGGAGTAAAATACCTACTGTTCTAGGTGGAGAGTGAAGTAGATGAACACTAATAGTAACGGGGTTTAGAAGTTTTTTTTTCTTTTTTAGTCCCACTCCCAGCAGTGTAGTAGTAGTTGTCGTCGTCTTTCTTTTCTATATTAATAGAAACACATATTATCATGTTTGCTAGACAGTTAAATGAGTAAAAAGGACATGGATTTCTTTTTTCCATATTCACACATAGGTCCTTACACTCTCAAAGTGAGGATCCGTGTCATTAAACCTTTTGAAGTGATTCACTGAACCATTTAAAATACTAAAGAGTCTATGTCCAGTCTAAGAGTTTATAAACCTGGGCGATAATCCAAAAAAAGTTCTAGGACATACTTTCCATAGTTCATATATTTATTTGGCATGGGCATCATATTATCTATATCTACTGTATCTATTTCTAATATTAAATAGAGAAGTGGTTCTTCTGTCCGGATTTTCTTTACTTCTCATAATATCTTCATACTCCTTTGTGTCCCTTTTGTGATTCAAACTCATACAAGTTAGAACCGCACATGTTGGGTGTGTCCACTGTCCAGCGATGGCACAGAGTTCGATCCCTATACGAATTGAGACACATGACGTGACCATTATATCAATCTTCGAGCTGCAAATCGTTAATCTCCGAGCCACAATTTGTTTAAATGACCACGCAATAAATAGACGTTCGGGCACAATTGCCCGTGAAAGATACATCACCTTACAACTTTATTTTTTTATAAGAGGAACATGACCTTAAATCTAGATGTTCAGCGACTCAATAACTCTCTCCCTTCTAGAGAAGTGCTCATAGTGAGCAGCCATAAGATCCCTGTACTTAATCTTCTTGTACCGTGCTGGGTGCTTCTCATCTAACAGTTGAGCGATGGGCTGGACCTCTTTCTCAAGATCCGTAGCGTAGAACATAGCCAGGGACATCCTCTCCTTCTGAGAGTGGGTCACCACCCTGTGCACCGGGCTCTTGAAGACCCCGTTCGACATTATCTGCATATAAGTGTCCGACGCAAACGGCCAGGAACTCTCAGAATCTGTATACATACATGACTGCAAATATCACACAAGTTCAGAGAAGGCTACCTCCAAGGAGCCGCCGACGTTTACCAGCAAGGCCCGGCCACGCACGGGCGGGACACAGTACCAGGTCCCGTCCCTGAGGAACTGCAGCCCGCCGACGAGTTCGTCCGCCAGGAGCAGCGTCAGGACGCAGGCGTCGTTGTGAGGACTGACGCCGAGGACGAGGTCGGGCCTCGGGCAGGCTGGGTAGTAGTTGAATCTGGCGTTGGTGGAGGCCCTGTCGCCGAACTGGCCGATGATGCCGTCGTCGTCGTCGAGCTCCAGAAGCCTGGCCATCGCCCGGAGGATCCCGTCCTTGACTCGCTTGCCGCTCTGACTGTACTCGTGCAGAAGACCCCTGCAAACACGTATTTCCAGCAGTCCAGTGGGACATGTCTAGCTTCAGGAACTCAATTGTTCCTGAAATTCTTCCATACCAATTGCTTCTGAAGATTAAAAAATTGAGGCCAGCGATCCATGTTTCTCTCGTCCTCCGGCTCAACCCTGAGATGCAGCCGGTCGCACCAGTCCAGGATCTGGTCCTGGGTATACACCTGCTCATTTCCATATTCTTCTAGCTGCCAATGCTTCCCTTCAATCAGGTTGCTGTACGCTTACTTCTCTTCCACCGGCTTGCGGAAGAACTCCCGTGATGCAGCGATGAGAGAATCCATCAGTGAGCTCTCGATCCCGTGGTCAGTAACCTGGACAGAACCAAGGACAAGAACTCCATCAGTGAACTCTCGGAGGGTATTAACTACTGTAAGTCTGAGAAGCTCAAGAACGGAGCTGCAGATAGTCTCACCAGGAAGAGCCCCCAGCTCTGCAGCGCCGAGCGCAGCTTGGTAGCTTCCTCGTCGCCAGAGTCGAACGCCAACCGAATTTTTTATTTTTTTGCCTTTTTTTTTTTAAGTTTTTCACAAATACACTCCTTGGCCTTGTTCGGCTGACTCCAAACCTGGATTGATCCGCTTCTCTTTTTTATCCGGAACAGTGTTTTTCCCTCACAAAATTTCAGCAGCTGCATTGATTTTTTTGGGTCAGCCGAACACAGCCAAAGTGTGTCAGTAATATAGACCCTTAGCTCGCCGCCATCGATGCTGGCGCCGAGAGCTAACACCCTGGCGCCGACCTCTTGGGCTCGAGACCCACGTGGAGGTGACATGGCAGGGAGCTGGCGCTGAGCTTGGCGCCGGAGTGGCTGGCGACGAGCCTTTATTACGTATGGGCCCCAATCATTTCTCTCTTCCTCTCCCCCCTCTCTCTCGCGCATCTCCCTCGCCCGAGCCGAGCAGAGCACCGCCGCTGCCGCGCCCGGAGCCCGCGCGGCCTCCGCCCTCGCCCTCGCCGACGCACGCCGGAGCCCGTCACCGGCTGAAGAGGTATCTTCTAATCTAGACCGTTGATCTCAGATCGAACGGAGCAGATCAAATGAGGGAACGGGGGTCGCCGGAGCGGCGCTGTGCGCGGCGGCACCATGGCCGGGGAGCTCGGCTCCTCGCCGGAGTTCACAGGGACGGCCCTAGAGGCCACGGGAGAGCAAACCGGAAGCATGGGGAGAAAGAGAGGGAGATGCCGAACTCGACTAGACAGCTTACCGAGGCGGAGCGGACAGAGGCGGTGCGCGGCTCGGCGGGGCGATGGCTGACGGCGGCGCTAGGGTTCCACGGCGGCGCGTCGATTCGGCGACTTGGCTGCGGCTCCGAGGCTAGGGATGGAAGCGGCACGGTGTGGGGCGCCCGGTATTTATGGCCAGGAGCATCTTGGGAAGCACGACAAAGGGAGGAGGCGAGGCGGTGGCGGAGTCGGAGGCGGCGCGGCGGAGTCTAGCATGGACAAGTCGCGGGGAGGAAGAAGGCGGCGCGCTGACACGTAGGGTCCACTTGCCAGCGAGAGAAGAGACGGGTGAGAGGAGGCGCGCGCGACGCGGCTTGGTTGGGCCGGCCCAGGAAGGGGCGCGGGGTGAGGGGAAAAGAGAGAAGCGGGCCACGCAGGAGAGGGAAGGAGATGGGCCGCGCGTAGGAGAGGAGCAGCTGGGCCGAGCGGCTTGCTGGGCCAGAAGAGAGGGACAAGAGTTTTTCCTTTTCTTTTTTTTCTGAATTCTATTTTCAAATTCATTTTCAAAAACATTTTAAATAAATTTGAATTTTGGATCAAACCACTCATCACAATAAACAAAATACAACGGTATGAATGCACAAAAATATTGCTAAACCTTATTTTTTATTTGAAATTTTAAACAAGTTATCATTTTCCTAAATTTAAATGCTCACAAAATATATAATTAAATTAAATTCACCTATTTCAAAATTATACAAATTGGAGCAGCGCTGTGCGCGGCGGCACCATGGCCGGGGAGCTCGGCTCCTCGCCGGAGTTCACAGGGACGGCCCTAGAGGCCACGGGAGAGCAAACCGGAAGCACGGGAGAAAGAGAGCTAGGCGCATAGCATGGAGCGGTCAGCGGTGGCGGCGGGTTGCGTGCAAGGAGGCCCCAGAGGTGTGACGTGGGCGGAGGCGGCGTGTAGAACTCCACATGCATGCAATCGGACGGGCCCCGCGCCTTCTCTCTCTCATGCGGCGTGCAGTGGAACGGCAGAGTCCAGCCGGACCCGTGACAGTTTGCTGCGCTCCGTTCACGCACGCATAAAGTCACGACGTAACTTTCCATCCATCTCCTACGTCCATTCAAGATCCAACGCCTCCCAAGAACTCAGTCCTGTAGCTCCTGCTTTTTTTTTTCACAGAACGCTGGCGGGAGCACTCCAGTTTCACGCGGGAGTTTGTGTGCTGCGCCGGCCGTCCCGCGCGCCGCCTCGCCTGGCTGGCCGCTCGACGCGCCGGCTGTCCCGCGCACCGCCTCACTTGCTGGACCACGTGCCGCCTCGCCTGCTGGCCGTGAGCTGCAGTTCCAGTCGTCCCGAGAGCCACCTCGCCTGCTGGCCCGAGAGCCGAGCTGGCCATCCCGTCCGTCGCCGCCGTGCTTGCCGTCCTGCTCGATCGCCTCGTTTGCCGGCCATCCTGACCAGCTTACCTGCCCTTCATCGTGTGTGCATCCACATCCCCAAGCACAGAACGACACCAGCCCAGGTGAACCCTTTGTCCGTCTCAAGATTACATCCTGGTTGCAGAATTTTGCAATATAATGGCAGAAGTTCAGATGGTGATACCTCAAATTGGTTTAAAATTCAGAAATCCAGATGAGGCTTGGCATTTTTGGGTGACATATGGGGGTCATACAAGCATCAAACATATGCAAATGGAAGCGTAAGTCAACTAAATTTCCCATGCCAGCAAAAAGGAGAGCAAAGGTGTGTTCCAAACCTGCAACTTGGACTGTATATGCTGTTGTCAACTTGGACTGTATATGCTGTGTTCCAAACCTCCATGACGCCGGGGGCGCAAGAACAGGCATGCTGCTACCCGGGACGACGACGGCGACCTGGAGCCGGAGTAGTACGAGGCCACGCCAAACTCGTGCTGTCTGCCGAGACGACAGATGAAGCCGACGCCCGCCGGATGTTTGACGAAATGATGATCCACGACCATGAGCGCGACGACATCTGCATGAAGGGCGTGCATCAGCAGGGCCTCGCCGCCTCCACGGACGACGACAGTCCCACGCGGTGGTGGCGGCAGATGGGCCGCAGCTCTACATGTACTAGCACCGGCAGTGGCAGCGACGGCACGGTGGACCTGCACGCGTTGCTGCTCCAGTGCGCGCAGGCTATGGCCACGGACGACCTCCTGACCGCGCACGGCCACTGGTGCACATCCGCCGCCACTCCTCAGCCACGGGTGACGCCGCGCAGAGGCTGGCGCACTGCTTCGCGGAGGGCCTGGAGGCACGCCTCGCCGATACGGGCAGCCACCTCTGCCACTCGTTCATGCTCCGCAGCACCTCCGTCGCGGACTTCCTCAGGACCTCTTCATGGCTACTGCAAGATTGTTGACTACGGCCTCGGCAACAGGTTCCAGTGGCCGGACCTGCTGCGCGTCCTCACCACAAGGGAGGGCAGCCCGCCGAAGCTGCTCAGGATCCCCGGCATTGACCTGCCGCATACAGCATACTGCTGCCGGAGTGGACGAAAAGTGCAAAGTGTTGCAAGCTTTTGCTTTGAACGCATGCTGAGTCGTTGGATAGGGAATGGAGGGTGGAGATTGCAAGAAAGTTACAATGTAACTTTACTGTGTAAAGTCACCCAATCTGGCTCCCAGGAAATCGAGTACGCCGAGCCTAAGAAACGCTCGATTGCCCGTTAGCTTTAGACCGTCTCCCACCACAACTATCCAAAATACAAGACCTATTTCATATTTAGGCCCCGTTTGGTAGGGCTTCACTTCTACAGTGAAGCTATTTTTTTTTTTTTTGCTTCAGTTCCACAAGCAGCTCTTGCAATGGAGCCGGAGCCATTTTAATATCACGTTTGGCAAAACGGCTTCAGTTGTCTATCATGCATGGTTAATTGTCAAATCTACCCTTGTATAGATACATGTAGTAACATGTGCAGGTGTACGTATCTTCATTTGGTTTCATCCGAGTAAATTTGCATTTTAAAATTGTACGGGAGGGAACCACTGCCGGAGGAGGAACCATGGCGGAGCGTCTTCTGTTCCGCGTACGGGAGGGAACGGAAACAGAAAAGTAGCGATACAATGGGGTGGGTGCGCGCGGTGGTTTCAGTGGCAATTAACGTAATTTGTTCCAAGTCCTGGGGGTACCAGCGCATGGAGGTGGACAAGGAGCCGGGAGAAACCACTATTTTTTGCTCCTTATCACCCCAGAGCTATGTGAGAGCACGTTTTCAGGGGCTTCGTCGGTGGAGCCGTTTCATTTTACCCCGTTTGGCAGAAAACGGCTCCAAACGGCTCCTGAAGCCGCTGGAGAAGCCCTATCAAACGGGGTCTTAGGTAGCGCTACAGGTAAAGAGTTCAATATCCATAAAAAGTCTTCTCTAACAACAAGCCCTAAAAGAGAACCCTTTCTGAAAATAGGTCTTCAGGAGAGATGATACTCAGATTTGGGTTGTCTCTCCTTACATTCAAAATAGGTCTTCCATATAGGTACTCTATTGAAAGTTATAGGTATTCGGTTGGAGACCTATTTTGGGTTTAGGTCTCGCAATGCATCTCCTGTTGGAGATAGCCTTAGCGTAACAAAATGGGTCATGCTTGCCCGCATGCTCCGCGTTCACACTGTATACTGGCTTTTCACCCTCTTACTCAACCCACAGCTCTCGCCAGGTTCCTTGCCGACTGCCTCCACATCCTCTATGCAACCTCCCTCACGCTCGTGTCGCTCCAGCACCGGGCCAAACCCTGAGTCATCGTTGACCTCCTCATCGCTAACCGTGCACATTGCCAATCCACCAGCGTAGCCCGCAATGACCAAGCGGGCGCAAACACGAGCATGGAGGGTGGTGGCAGTGGCGGTGGCGGTGGCGCAAGAGGCATGGAAGAGAGGGGATAGCGTGAGAAAAAGGGTCTAATTGCATTTTATACATCCCTACTCGGCACTGACTACTGATTGTACATGTCACACCAGATCTAAGGGCCAAAACGAAGGGGTGTGGATCTACAGAGACCGCTTCAAGAATTTACAGACCTAGAAATGCAATTTTAGAGTTGATGAACCTAGATGGCATCCCTCAAAAGTTAATGAATCTTCGGTGCATTCTTCACGTAATATGCCACGTTAGCAAAGCCACATTCAAACCACCCTAAGGTGTTATTTAGACGATTTTTAATATTTTGAGGGGTAAAATACTTACTGTTCTTGGTTGAGAGCGAATTAGATGAACACTAATAGTTAACATGGTTTACAAGTTTTTTTTTCTTTTTTAGTCCCACTCCCACCAGTGTAGCAGTAGTCTTTCTTTTCCATATTAATAGAAACACATATTATCATGTTTGCTAGACAGTTAAATGAGTAAAAAAGACATGGATTTCTTTTCCATATTCACATATAGGTCCTTACACTCTCAAAGTGAGGATCCATGTCATTAACCATTTTAGGCATTGTTTGGTTGTTTGGATACGCATGTATCCACCTCAAGGCTTGTTTGAGTGCACATAAATCCATCCTAATCCACGTGGTTTGGGAGGGATTGAGGTGGAATTTAGTTTAAGTTCCACCTCAATCCCTCCCAAACCATGTGAATTGGGGTAGATTTGTGTGCAACCAAACATCAAAGCCTCAATGTGTGTTGGAGTTGTTTGGTGTGGAATTTAAATTAAATTTCACATCAAACTACTCCCAGCCACATGGATTGAGGTCTATACATAGACATCTAAACAAGCCCTTAAGTGATTCACTGAACCATTTAAAATACTGAAGAGTCTATGTCCAGTCTAAGAGTTTATAAATCTGGTAGATAATCCAAAAAAATGTTTTAGGACATACTTTTCTTAGTTCATATATTTATTTGGCACGGGCATTATATTATCTATATTTATTCCTAATATTTAAGAGAGAAGTGATTCTTCTGTCTGTTTTTTACTTCTCATAGTATCCTCATGATCTTTTTTGTCCTTTATATGATCCGAACTCATACATTTAGAACCGCACACGTTAGTAGAGAGTCCGATCCCAATACGTATCGAGACAGACACGACCATTATATCAATCTTCGAGCTTCAAATCGTTACTCTCTGAACTACAATTCATTTAAATGACCACGCAATTAAAATGGACGTTCCCTGTACGGGTACAATTGCCCGTGAAACTAAAAGATACATCACCTTACAACTTTATTTTTTTAACGAGGAACGTCACCTTAAATCTAGATCTTTAGCGACTCGATGACTCTCTCCCTTTTAGAGAAGTACTCATAGTGAGCAGCCACAAGATCCCTGAACTTGATCTTCTTATACCGTGCTGGCCGCTTCTCATCTAACAGTTCAGCAATCGGTTCGATCTCTTTCTCAAGATCCGTACCGTAGAACATGGCCAGAGACATCCTCTCCTTCTCAGAGTTCGTCACCACCCTGTGCACCGGGCCCTTGAAGATCCCGTTCGACATTATCTGCGCCGGTCACAAGTGTCCGACGACGACCAAGAATTCATCAGAATCTGTTTGCACATAAAACACTGCAAAGTGCCAGTGCAAAAATTGCAGAGGTTCAGAGATGGCTGGCTACCTCCAACGAGACGCCGACGTTGACCAGCAAGGCCCGGTCACGCACTGCCGGGACGCAGTACCAGGTCCCGTCCCTCTGGAACTGCAGCCCGCCGACGTGTTCGTCCGCGAGGAGCAGCGTCAGGACGACGACGTCGCTGTGAGGCCTGATGCCGAGCACGAGCTCAGGTCTCGGGCAGGCAGGGTAGTAGTTGAACCTGTCGTTCGTGGTGGAGCCCTTGTCGCCGAACTGGCCGAGGATGCCGTCGTCGTCGTCGAGCTCCAGAAGCCTCGCCATCGCCCGGAGGATCCCGTCCTTGATTCGCTTGCAGCCCATCGTGTACTCGTGCAGAAGACCCCTGTTGAACCAAGCCTGGCTTCAGGGAATCAGTTGTTTCTGAAATTCTTCCGTGTCATTGCAGAAATGGTTGATCCATTACCTGAAAGATTCCGGGTGTCCGGGCCAGCGATCGAGGTTCCTCTCGTCCTCTGGCTCAACCCTGAGATGCAGCCGGTCGCACCAGTCCAGGATCTGATCCTGGGTTTTCACCGGGTCATTCCCGTACCCTTCTAGCTGCCACTTTTTCCCTTCGATCAGGTTGCTGTACACCTGCTTCTCTTCGAGCGGCTTGCGGAAGAACTCGCGTGATGCAGCCATCAGATCGTCCATCAGAGAGGTCGCGATCCCATGGTTCGTAACCTGGAGAAAAGAACACGTCTGCTATTTATATATGATGAACTGAAATGCAAGAAAGAAGTTAAGCTTAGCAGTTGGTGGGGAGCTGAAGAACGAAACTAGTTAGAAGGCTGACCAAGAAGAAGCCCCAGCTCAGCAGCGCCGAGCGCAGCTTGGTAGCCTCCGCGTCGGCAGAGTCGTCGGACGCCAACAGCCGTTGGAGATCGATGGTAGGGACGGGGTCCGGCATCTCCACACCGGCGAGCTGGTCATGGCGCCTGTCCTGCTCGGGGATCAGGTACCGACTCGGCGGCTCCTGCACGGTGGCCGCCAGCTCCTGCACTATGCTAGGCACCCTCCATGATTCGTCGTCCGCCATTGGGATCCTTGGGGATCGCTTGGCCAGTTGGCCTGCTCTGTCCCTGTGTCTGTGTGTCTCCATTGTTGCCTTGCTCAATTATAAGATGCCTGTCGTGTGTCGTCTCTCTGTGAATCACTGTGTCCGTCTCGTCTCTCGTCATATTGTAGTGTTGATTCTTTTCCTCGACTCCGAGTCGATTAATTCACTTGCACTAGGCGACATGGTGCTGGAGATATGCTAATGGCAAGTTGCCGTCCCCCTTGTCAGCATCGCCATCATCGACAAAAAGACCACCAGACACCAAGCACTAGCACTATATAGCAATATAAACGGACAAAGGAGAAACAATACGTATGATTGGGAAATAAAGAGTTCTTGTTAGAAAAGAAACCCAATAATAATAAAAAGGAAAACTAGTAGTCGATACGCTCTTGAAAAGAATGACTCTTTAGGAGCTAGCTGTCACTAGGTCAATGAAAAAATGGTGACATGACTTCTTTTTTAGACCAAAGGTATATTGGCCTAGCTTTTATTGAAAGCGTAATAGAGGGTATTTTTGGGTTTACCAGCTTACAATTCAAGTGTAGATAAGAGAAACATCGTCCTCGCCTAAAACAAAAACAAAAAAAAAACAAAAAAAAACAACTAGCGGCACTGGACATAACAAGCAAGAGAAACATGATAGAAAAGAGCAGCTCCGGGATCTTCAGGATCTTCAGAACACACAGGTCACCAAGTTGACATCCTTTCCTCCATCTTCAGCAGCGTTGCCTCCATCTTGTTGCGGTCCTCCGTCTTCGATAACTTGATCCACTGCTTTAAGAAACCATAAGCTTTGTAAGCCACCTGCTTGGGAGATTTAATAACAATAATATTTGAGAACACTAGGCCATTTCTAGATTTCCACAGTTCCCAACCTACAGCCGCTACTATCCACCACATAAGAGAGTTATTACATCTATCATCAACCGCTACACAAATTTCTTGAAATGAGATAATAGAAGTCGGGATTTTTGGCCATCCCAAGCTATCCCTCACCCAGCACCATGTCACCACCGCCGCAGGGTATTGGAAAAGTAGGTGATCAACCGTTTCTTCCTTGCCACAATATTTGTAGAGTTTAGAGCCATCTCAATTCCTCTTCTTAAGCTGCTGGGCAGTTTGTAATCTATCATGTCATGCCATCCACAGAAAAAAATCAGCACTTTCAGGGGAATCTTTGCCCTCCAAATCTCCATCATTCTGACATCTCTCTCTCCTCCAAAGGTAATAGATATGTACATGCTCCTGGTTGGAAACTTAATTGCCAGACTTTTCCAAGTTCCATATCACCTTATCCGTCCCTCAATAAGATTCAAATCACCTGGTTTCCCCATCATTTCCCTCCACTTAGCTAATTCTTTGTCCCCAAATTCCTTCTATAGTTCAACCTCCATTGATTTCTATTTGCCCCTCCTCAGAGATATCCTGATCATGACAAATCTTGTATAAGTTTGGAAAATAAATTTTGAGTGCACACTCCTCTAACCATACATCCTTCCAGAACCTAGTTTGTTTACCACCAACCACAACATGTCCTTTACCCCTTGCATACCACTCCTTGACTGAATGCAACCCTTGCCAGAATTGTGAGCTCCCTCTACTAGTACTCTGACTAAAGCCTTTGCCTCTTAAATATTTCCTCCACAATAGGTTTATACATAGGCTGTCCTCTCCACTTTCCAGTCTGTAAATCCACTTACACAACAAAGCAGAATACATAGCTCTAGTATCAATGAAGCCTAGTCCTTCAAACTCTTTAGGTTTATCCAAAGCCTCTCACTTGATCATATGATACTTCTTATTTCCTACTCCTTCCCAGAAGAACTTGCCTCTTGTAGAATCAAACCTCTGATGAGTCCCCTCATGCAGCCAATAAAAGCCCATAGTGTATATGGGGATACTTGTCATACTACTATTAACCAGAATTCATCTCCCCCCTCCCAAAGGATAAGTGACCACATTTCTAGGTCTGCAGTCTTTTCTCCATTTTCTCAGCAGCATCACTCAACTCGGCCATGGTAAGTTTTCTGTCACTGATAGGTAAACCCATATATCTCATAGGAAGCTTGTCAAACTTACAATTAAAATAAAGCGTCTGCCACCTCCTTCCCAACCTCCTCTGACAGACCCACAGTGAAAATTTCACTTCTTTGAATAATGGAAAAAGTCTACATACCCCCCTGACCTTTGATGTTGTGTCTACTTCATCCCCTGAACTATAAAACCATGTATCGAGCACCTTAAACTTTCCTAAACCAGTTATTTAACCCCTTGTAGTGGTTTTGCCCAAACCATGTATCGAGCACCCTAAACTTTCCTAAACCAGTTATTTAACCCCTTGTAGTGGTTTTGCCCCCTGGTTTTGCTGACGTGTCATTCCAAGCTAACTTACATTGACATGTTGGTGTTTGGGGCCACACTGTTGGAACCGGTGGTGACCACTGAGTTCTCGATCTTGGAGCTGGCTTGCAGCCGGCCTGGCTCATTACCACGAGCCTACGCTTCGACAAGTCCTAGGTCCACCGGAGCTACAACATATAAGGTCTTGGGCCTTACTCAACCTAAAAGACTAGCCTGATAGGTAGGGTTATCACATCTTATATGTTGTGCTCCCTCACCATCGCTACACGATGTGGGATTAAACCCCAATAATCTCCCATTTAGTCACACATCGGGGTGCCCCCGCCATATGTGACGCTCGAGATTTTTTATTGGATTTAGCTTTTTCGACCATGGGCTCCGATATCAATTGTTGGAACCGGTGGTGACCACCGAGTTCTCAATCTTAGAGCTGGCTTGCAGCCGGCCCGGCTCATTAGCACAAGCCTACGCTCCCACAGGTGTCAGGTCCACCGGAGCTACAACATATAAGGCCTTGGGCCTTACTCAACCCAAAAGACTAGCCTGATAGGTGAGGATTCTCCCGTCTTATATGTTGTGCTCCCCACCATCGCTACACGATGTGGGACTAAACCCCAACACACATGTCATAGAAAAGCAGACGCATAGACGGCTTCTCGGTGGTGCCTTTATAACTGCGACCTCGGCGACTTCTTCCACGGGCGCTAGCAGAGGGAAGGAAAAGGGAGCAGAGGAGCGGGAGATGGCCTCACAAACTACCGCCGAAGATGCCATGCCTTCCGTGGAGCTAGACGACGGTTGTCCTGCGCGTGAGCTCCGCCGCGCGGTCGAGTCCTTCCTCCTCGACAGCAATGGCTTTGGGTCCGCCGAGCCAGCACCGCTCCCTGCCGACGTTGCCGCGCTCTACGACGTCGTCTTCGAACAGTTTGACGCCGACCACAGCGGCCCCGTCGACCGCGCCGAGTTCCGTGATGAGATGCGCTTTGTTGGAACCGGTGGTGACCACCGAGTTCTCGATCTTGGAGCTGACTTGCAGCCGGCCCGGTTCATTACCACGAGCATGTGCTCCACAGGTCCCAGGTCCACCGGAACTACAACATATAACCTGAAAGACTAGTCTGATAGATGGAGGTTCTCCCGCCTTATATGTCTCGGGACTAACCCCACCAACGTGTTCGTCCGCGAGGAGCAGCGTCAGGACGCGGATATCGTTGTGAGGCCTGATGCCGAGGACGAGGTCGGGTCTCGGACAGGCAGGGTAATAGTTGAATCTGGCGTACGTGATGCCCTTGTCGGCGAACTGGTCGATGATGCTGTCGTCGTCGAGCTCCAGAAGCCTGGCCATCGCCGGGAGGATGCCGTCCTTGACTCGCGTGCAGCCGAGCGTGTACTCGTGCACAGGACCCCTGCATAGCATTTCAGTTGTGAACCAAAAGTCAGGGTCGGCTTCAGGGAATCATCTGTTGAGGACACCCGTGGTTGACTCGTCATTACCTCAAAGATTCCGGATGTCCGGACCAGCGATCGAGGTCTCTCTCTGGTCCTCCGGCTCAACCGTGAGATGGAGCCGGTCGGACCAGTCCTGGATCTGATCCTGGGTTTGCACCGGGTCATTCCCGTACCCTTCTTGCTGCCACTGTTTCCGTCCGATCAGGTTGCTGTACGCCTGCTTCTCCTCGAGCGGCTTGCGAAAAAACTCGCGTGATGCGGCCATCAGAGCGTCCATGGCAGAGGTGGCGATCCCATGGTTCGTAACCTGGAGAAAAGAACAAGTTTACTTTTTACATGACGAAGTAGACTGCAAGAAACAAGTTAAGCTTAGCCTTAGTAGTTGGTGGGGAGCCGATGAACGAAACTAGCTAGAAAAGCTGACCAAGAAGAAGCCCCAGCTCAGCAACGCCGAGCGCAGCTTGGTAACCTTCTCGTCAGCAGGGTCGGACGCCAGCAGACGCTGGAGATCGATGGTCGGGACGGGGTCCGGCATCTCTGCACCGGCGAGCTGGTCATCGCGCCCGTCCTGCTCGGGGATCAGGTACCGACTCGGCGGCTCATGCACGGTGGCCGCCAGCTCCTGCACTATGCTAGGCACCCTCCATGACTCGTCCGCCATTGGGATCCTGGGGTGTTTCTTCGCTTGGCCAGGCCTGCTCGTGTGGCTGTGTCTTTCTTTCTTTGTGTCTGCTTTGTTACTTTGCTCATCTATCGTCTCGATCTCTGAGAATCACTGTCCAGTCAGTTCGTCACTTGCACTAGGAGACATGGACCTGGAGATATGATAATGGCAGGTTGCCATCGTCCTTGTCAGCATCGCCAGCATCAAAAAAAGACCAAGCACTAGCAGTCTAGCACAGTAGCACTAACAATATAAATGGACAAAAGAGGAGAAACAATACGCAATTTAGGAAATATAAAGAGTTCTTATATTAGAAAAGAAAGCCAAAAATAGAAAAGGGGAAATTGGTAGTCGATACGCTCTTCAAAAGAATGACTCTCTAGGAGTTATATTGTCGCTAGGTCAATGAAAAAAATGGTGATATGCTTTCACCACCATCAGTAAAATGGAGATATGCTTTACGAAAGGGAATTATGTTTATCTCTATTGTTAACGCGTTGTTTGGGTCTCACGGTATATAGTTTAGACGCTAACTCTTTAGACCATGGAATCTAAATAGAGCATGACTTTTTTTAATCTTTCTTCCCCTTTTTGGCAATGCAAATAATCCCCCTGACAAACCATGATATCCAAGTTCATGGAAAGTGACAAAGCTTCTCAGGTACTATATCACAAAGCACTTACAAATTCTAGAGACATAGCATATAGAGTGCAATCATATCAATCAAAGCCAAACAATATTGAAGAAGATATATTGTGATACAAGCATTTGATCAACTCTCTTCGAGATTATACAAAAAAAAAAAAAAGTCCCCACGTGAGCAAGTAAGGCCATGTTTGGTATAGGAGCTATTTTCAGCTTCATCCCACACTAATCCCCTGTGAGAGCATCGTTTGAAGGAGCTTCACGTGTGAAACTATTTTAAAATAACCGCTTGGCACAAAACAACTTCAAAAGGCTCGTGAAGCCAATGGAGAAGCTGTGCCAAACGAAACCTAACTAGTCCTGAATAACTTGAAGATTAAGTTACTACTAGTGCTATATGAAGCTCAAACTAGACAATCAAAGTTCTAAAATGGTAGGCTCCCTTTTCATGCATCATGTGTTAATCCTTGGATCAGTAGGTAACATGGAGCAACTCCACTTAATTGAGTAAAAGCAGTCCCCTTTCTCTATACTGAGCAAAAAAAAACAGGGTGGGGGTGGGGGGATTGAAGCCAAAAAAAAATATGCTTTAGCATATCCCCTTTCTTAATCCTCTTTTTCTATAATTTTTCTCAATCCCTCAAATGGAGGAGGTCCATTACCATGTTTTCTCAATCCCCTTCCCCCTCATCATGTCACTGACGTGTGGTTCCTTGGGATGGTGGAGGCCGTCAGGATGGTTGCATCGCCGTAGTGCTGCGTGCGCGGGCCGCTGCACACAGGCTGGCCACACTGGGCTCGCTGTCGCGCCGCCACGCTGGCTGGCCGCTCCTTGCCACTGCTCATTGCCGTGTGACAGAGGGAGAGGATGCCGCAGAGGAAGAAAGAGGAGAGAGAGCCACTGACCTGTGGGCCCCATGTGACAGTAGATGGAAAGGGGATGACTTTTGTCAATCTGCTGCAAAGCATCTCCCCTATCCCTTTAGTTTGGGCAATGCTTAGTTCAAAATAATCTAAGCCATTGATTTATTAGATTTTATGAATTAGTTGAATAAGCAAACACCAAAGGAAACAAACAAAAATCTGCCAAAATCCCGTAATCACCGGGAAGGGGACACTTCCAGCCGTGATTTTAGAGTCTACTCCGAAACATCCAACACACATGTATGGATATGCCACACGTGATGACGTGAAGCTATTACACATTTACACATTCTTAACACATTTTTTTTTGAGAATTCTTAACATAAAAATTGGTTTTTTTAGGGTAACATAAAAATTTGTCACGTTACACCATGAACATATCCTTATCTTCACACATAAAGCATACGTACACGGGATGTTAAGCCTTAGATATGACACGTAAACAAATATTACTATGACTGATTATGTTAAATTAAATACTCATAGCTTAATTATGGATGCATGTTACACAAATATGTATGTCTCATCCCAAAATTAAAAAAAAATTATAACTCATGTGAGACCTGCAACCTTAAATAGGTCAGATTTAAAAAAAAAAGTTCACGTAACACACTCTTTGGGATATAAATTATGACACGTAGAAATAATTAATCAATCAACTAAAAAACTTACATAGTAGACGTTGGGAAATATCGGCACAGATCTATGTAGCATGCATGTGGATGCACGTCAGATTTGTTTAGATTTGTTTGATAGATAATTTCCTTATTTTCCCTATTTCTCAAACTAAAAATAGATATAAATATATATTTCTTATATTACCTCCTAGGAAGTAATATGTGCTAATAATCATCAAGATTAACATTCCACAGTTATTTAGAGGTACCATAGTAAAGTCGCTTTAGTTTTGTTTTCTCAATCACCTATGCTAGTATTTTAGAGAATGAGAATTCTCAATGTAGTGGAGATGCTCTGACAGAATGATAACACAACCATGTGGCATAGAGATATACTATTACCTACCGGTAACAGCCAAATATGACAAAGGGAGAGACTAGCGCCCGGACGTCAAGACGCACCCACCCGTTTTCAATAATTGTACCCTCAAGGCGACTATGGATGCAGCTTCGTGCTCCACTTCGTCTCGTGCTCCGTGCCTGCGCTTGCCCATGGATGCAGCCTCGTGTTCCGCTTCGTCTCGTGCTCTACGCCTACTGCCCGCCCATGGATGTAGCTTCGTGCTCCGCGCTTGCTGTCACGCCAATGGATACAGCTCTGTGCTCCGCGCCTGCTGCCACGCTTCCCGCGCGCACGCGGGGACCGCTACGCCCAAAGGGGACCACTTTCTCTTGTAACACTTGCAATATACGTCCGAAACAGATGAAACATTTACAACATACGCTTGCATTATATGTGTATGGACACTGCAACATATGCAACATCCAGATAAAACACTTGCAACATACGTTTGAAACAGCTGAAACATTTGAAACATACCTTGCAACATATACATGTATAGTCAGTGCAACATATACAATATCTAGATAAAACACTTGCATCATACATTTGAAACAACTGAAATATTTTAAACATACACTTACAACATACATGTATAGTCATTGCAACATATGCAACACCAGATCTATTTTTGCAGCATCCAGATAAAACATATACAACATACATCTGAAATGCATGAAACACACGGTTGCAACATGTGCTCATCTTCTTGCTGCCCCCAATGGATGCTCATTGACGCGGAGCTTGATGCCGGCAAGGAGCTCTAGGTCGTCCAGGTCAACAGGCGGATGGAACGTGGCTATGGCGGGAGACGCGAGCGCGAGCGGGGTGAGGCACGGTTGAGGGTCCACAGCGCAAGACGCGCACGGCGAGGCACGGGCGAGGGTCCGCAGCGTATCCTATGACGAAACAACAGAACCGTTAATGGCCACCGCCTACAGGTAGTTTCTTTGCACTCGTGCTTCTACACTTCCCTTCACTCGTGCTTCTACGCTTCTGCTCCTAGGGCCTGTTATATATATATATATATATGGCACAAATTATTGGATATCTTGAAGTCGGTTACTTTGGATATCTTGAAGTACGCCTCTGCATTCTCCTTGTAAAAGGTTGAGTTTGCAAGCTTTCACAAAATACAGCTACAATCTATATACAGGTTAATTACTGATAGCAAGTAAACAGTGTTGGTAAATTGGCATTAGCCCCCCAACAAACCATGCAGGGCAATCGAGTTCCCGCAACAGATTCAGCTATTATACAGAAGTGGAATAATGCCAGTACAAAATGGAATAATACAGGCGCATGTAGTCTGAGGTTCAGAACAAGGCTTAGTTGAAAAAACAACCCAATATAACAAAAATTACTAGTAACATAGGAAAATCTGACGCTATGCTCATAAGTATAAGCAAGTACAAAGCAAAAATAGCTCAACCGGTCACTTGGATGATATCAAATTCATAAGTGTGCATCAACACATGGTAATGGAGCCACTGAGGGCCATAGAAAGGAATAGCTACAAAAACTCTCGTCTCACATAGAACTAGTAGGACACAGATGCAGAATCCAGTTGCCTGTAACTTAGATGATGCCGATTTTGTTGGCCACATCAAGAGCATCATAGTCAGGCGTCAGCTTCACATAAGCCTTCTTCTTCCCATCAGGCCTGCACAGACAAAGTAAGAATCACTCATTCACTCATAGTTGCACAAAATAACAAATTATGCAGAAAAAACTAACACTGGAGCAAAGTGATAACCTGATCAGGGTGTTGACCTTCTTTGCCTGAATGTCATACATCTTCTTGACAGCGGCCTTGATCTTCTTCTTGTCTGCCTTGAGGTCGACGATGAAGACCAGAGTGTTGTTATCTTCAATCTTCTTCATTGCCGATTCTGTGGTGAGGGGGTACTTGAGGATTTGGTACTGATCAAGCTTGTTTCTTCCAGTGGTGCTGATTCTTGGGTACTTCGGGTCCCTGGCCTTCTTCAGGGTCTTGGGGCGGTGAAATGTCACGGACGTGCGGATCTTCTTGGTCTTCTTCTTGCCTGCCCCAGACTTCACAGCCTTGGCAACCTTCAAGGCCTGGGCCTTGGCATCAGCCTTCTTGGCAGGAGCGGCTAATCAAACAACGCAATTAGATAAAATGGTCAGGTCATGCATACTTACAGTAAGCCTATCAAATAGAAATAGTTCATGAAGTTTAGCATGGTGACTACTCTCCATCTGTATATTGATAATCAAACAATAGACAGACTACCAATACATTGATAAGATTGCATTAGAGACCCCATCTGTATACAAGACAATGCAGTTTAGAGTTTGCTAACTCTATACACTCCCTTTTGAGATGATTCCCATGTTCTGGTCAAGGCATGAGTAAAACGAACAGGTAGTGGTTAAATCAGAGTGCTAAATGTACAATTACCAACTAAGACCTGATACAATTCAACAATGGTGACACACATGCAAAGGAAACAGGAACTGCATAACACTGAGCACTCAATTTACAGTGATTTAAAGGTTGACACAGGGCATTTATTGATCAAGTGTGGCACGCATAGAAATATGCAATGTTAGGCGTGTACCTTTAGGAGCCATTTGATCTTCTCAAAACTCCCTCCTGAATTGCAAACAGATAAAGATCATTACGTCAGGCGGCTGAAGATGCAAAGGACAAGACACAAAATCATGAGAACTGGAATGAACCATAGAAGGATCTTGTCATCCAACATGAAAGCTACTTATTAACAATTCTCAGTCTAGTGTTGACCCAAAGTTAACACCAAAAACAGAATCATAGAAACACCATTACTAAATCTACCTCATGCCCAAATCAACCATGGCTAATAAGACAGCATCCCTAAATATCATGACCCCGATAGTGTCGCGTACTAAGGTCAAAGAGACTCGTCGCAAAACCTTCTCACGATCTACCGATAAGAGCAAATACACAAAATCTACAAGGCGAAACAGCCACTGACGCCCGAGCTACACCTCGCGAGACAACTCCCACCGGCAAACCGACCGAGAACAGGCGCGTACAGAGCAGATCCGAGCGCTTCCACGAATTGACCGAGCCAGCGCTACCCAACACGACGGCCGGACAAAATGGGGTGGGAGGAGAGCGGCGGGAGGCTTACCTTACCCCTCCTGGCGGCGGTCTGAGGCGGACGCGAAGCGATGACGGCTGGGAGGAAACCCTAGCCCCGGGGCAGAGGTTTCATAGTATGCGCGCTGGGTCATGATAACCGTCGGCTGGATGGGCCGTTTATGGACCGGCCCACTTAGATTTGAAACGGACGAAAGGTCTCATCGGTTCGGTTATGTGCCCACGGCCAGTTTGAGGACAGAAAGGGCCGCCAATCATTCGTCAGAGCAACCTGCTGCCAGCGGCCAGTCACCTTCCCAGTTAGATTTTTATTGGGCTGTGGACTTGGGGGCCGTCACCGTCAGGTGCGTTTTTTATTTATTAACACCACCAAGTTCCACGCGGATGTTGGAGAATGATTTGCCTTCCTGTTCCACTTGTGGGCAGCTGAGCTAGATACAAGTGATGGAGGCGTACGGATGGCCCCTCAGAGCCAGGCTATAACCCATCTACAGCCAATCAAACAAGTTCATCTTGACTCCAAAGAACCAGGTCAGAGATTAGCCACCCAACCAAACAAACCCTATGACAAATGTAGAGCAGCTATTTTTTTTTTTATCTATCCTATATGGCATTTGGGGCTAATGAAAAAACAGCGTTGGGGAAGCCGGGAGAGTGGATGGGGTTGACTGGAGGTTTGGAACTACCGCCTCGCAGTGAACGGATAAAGGCATAAAGCAGGTTCGAGCTAACTTGTCAATCCTTTCTGGAGGCCATTCTGGTTTTGCTCTTGGAACGGTACATTCTGATATCGGTGCATTCCGGTGTACCGTTCCGGTTTTCATTCATTTATATATTTTTGGAATATACAAGTTTTTAGAATATCAGAAATCACTCACAAATAATGAAAATAGAAGAACAACAACTTGGGCCGGCCTGCTAGTATACAGGGAACTACTAACCTCATTCAATTGAATTTAACTGCAGCCTCACGTCCAGGTTTCAGGAACACTCCACGTGCACCGCCGTCACCTACCTCTAGACCTCCCGTTCCAAGCAGCAAGCAAGGCACCAAAGCAAACGCAACGCCATGAGCCCATGAGTGCTGAGTAAAAAACTCCGGACGGCAGAAAGGCACTTCTATCGCTTGCGGGGTCGGAGTGCTAGAACAAGACCCGACTACTCGAGCAGTCGTCCATGGTGCCTGGTCGTTCGCCATGCATCAGCTGGAGCGGGGGCACAAACAACAGGACTCGAGCAGTCGAGCGTCTTCCTCCTCGAGGACGGTACCGGCATGGACGGAACTCTCAATCCCGCCCGGAATGGCTGGAATCGTCCGATATGGCCGGAATCGTCCGGTATCCTGGCCGGTACGGGACGCAGCTTCTTCTGTTCCGGCACGCCGGCACGAGGCATACCGGCCGTTCCGGACGGTACCGGAACGGAATTGATAACTGTGGGTCCGAGAGTGGATGAAGTTGTCGTGTGTGTTTTCTTTTTTACCTCGTGGGCCCCACCTAAACCCAAAACAAAGGTCTAGGTTTACAATCTCATTTCCCTGACCCAAAACCAGCCCATCATAGCCCAGCACAATTCCATATCCCATACCCACTTACTATCCAAACGTCACCGAAGTGTTAAGAATAGTTTTGCTACCGCTAGGTGTGTGCCCGTTTTCTTAGTTTTTTTTTCTCATTTTCTTCTTTTTCTTTTTTGTCCATACATCTTACTCCCCCGTTTTAAATTATAGCATGTTTTGTCTTTTCTAGACACATTATGTTTTGAGTAAATTACGTGGCTGGTCCCTAAGCTATTGTTTAGCGCCCTGTTTCGTTTGGGCTTGTTTGGCTGATAAGACATGGCTGAAAGTTCTGTTGACTGATTTGGTGTGAGAAAAAAATAATGTTCGTTAGCTGAAAAAATACGACTTATAAGTCAAACAAGCCCAAACGAACAGGGAGTAAATTTCATCTAGTCTCTGAATTAACAAACTACAGTTTGGGCTTCCTAATCTAGTTTAGTCATCCATCCCGGTCCAAATTAGCCACGCACCTCAGGCAGTGGCTGATCTGGCACTCCATGTAGGTTGAATAAGCATGTGCCACCCACGTGAGGGCAGGGACAGGTATGAAAATAAGCGAAAACGTCAGTATTTAGCGTCGTAAGGGCAACTCTAACAGCCCGACTATTTTTGTTGGAGAGACTATTTTAGAATTTGTATAGCAAAAAGTAGGATCCAACAGATGTGCTGTCTAATTTTGTAAAATAGAAAGTTGGTTATTCCTTGATTTTCGATGGCCATATATAGGGGGTGTTTGGTTCTTTAGTCGCTCCTAAAATTCATGTCGCATCGAATGTTTAGATACTAATAAGGAGAATTAAATATAGATTAATTACAAAACCAATTACATAGATGGATGATAATTTGCGAGACGATTTTTTAAGCATAATTAATCCATCATTAGTACATATTTACTGTAGCACCACGTTATCAAATCATGAACTAATTAGACTTAAAAGATTCGTCTCGCAAATTAGTCGCAAGTTGTGCAATTAGTTTCGTAATTAGTCTATATTTAATACTCCATGTATGTGTCCAAACATTCGATGTGACAGAAATTTTAGGAGCTCATGTAGAAACAAACAGGCTCATAGTCAAACAAAGCTGTTGTAGATCTCTTTTTTTTTAGAAGTTTTCTATTTTACAAAATGGCTAAATAATAGAATTTGTTAACTAATTTTAGCCAAGCTGTTGGTGTTGCTCTAATAGATTTTTTATTTACATGATAGAATATTTAGTGCTATAGAAACCATCTTAGATGAGGAGCTTGGACTGTCATCCTCTCTCAAATGTGCAAAACCCTGCTGCTCTCTTTGGACTTGTGATCCAACGGTGATGGGAATTGTGTGAGGCACACGGTACAACATCCGCGTGGAATGATCGCGTTATTGTCGAGCCGACACCGGTTACTGGCGACTGTTGAGTGGTGAAGTCGAAACGAACAATGCAACAAACACAAGATGGAGCCGGGATGACGGCGTACAGAATCCCAACAGAACGCAGTCACGTGTAGCGCGTGCAGCGAAGGACGCAGCGGAGGCCCGCGGCCACGGCACGACTCGACGCCAGCCCGCACCGGCGGGCGCCTGCCTTCTCCGACTCCCGGTGGCGGCAGCCGGGCGCGTGCGCCGGGCTGTCTCGTCCCGTGCGCGGTGCGCGCGGGCAGTGGACCACGCCACGCCACGACGTGTCAACTCCGATGAAAGCGAATCCACCAACGGACAATCATCGGGGCAGGCGGCGGTCGTAACGTATCCAGTGCCCGCGCCGCGTTGATGCTGGCGTGTCGCTGGGCGCTGGCACTGCTGCGAACAGCTGGAAGCAACGCTGGGCGAGTGCACTGTGCCCGTGTGAAGTGTGAACGCCAGCTCCGGTGGAATATGCCGGTGCCCCGACGGCTGCCGCGGGGGATATACCGAGGTGAGCACCGACGTGAGCGAGCTGAATCCACGCGCCCGTGAGCTGGCAAACGCCGAATCGAATTGGGGGAAGAAGAAAAAAAGGACGCACGGCACAACCCAACAAAAAACATGCTACGGCCTATCGTCGCTCTGATCAATGCATCGGAAGAGTAAGGCCTGTACTACTCGGTACCGCTTTGATGTCTTCTTGTCGAGTAGAAAAAGGGCCCGGAACGTGCCAGTGCTGCCACTGCTCCACCGTGTCCCGCGTCCGCTCAACGGCGGCTCGAGCCCCGACCCCGACTGAAGAGGATACGGATCAACCTCAACTCTGTAGTGATCTTGTGTGGTCGTATTTATATAAGTACAAGGCCTGTAACCTCTACGGGGAAAACTGCTCTACGGCGCGGCAGAGCGACTAACAGAGGCGCGGCGTGGCGCAGAGCGGGCGTCGTGCGTGCGCGCCTGTGTTTGACCGTGCGGTCTACACGACGGCCCCGTTCGTGTGCTCTTAAATTTAGCTTGATCTGCTTCTTCTTTTTATCTGGAATAGTATTTTCCTCTCATAAATTTCTTCAGCATTCCTCCAAATCATCCAAATTTCTCCAGAATTCATCCAAATAAACAGGCCCGACGTGTACAGCCCGTGGGCAGGACTCCGTTATCACCGACGACCGATTGGACGGCGTCGTGGCGTTGCGGCCGGGCAATCTCTACCTGAAGTAAGTACGTACGCTTCCAGTGTCTGTACCAGTCCAGTCGAGCCCGCGGCCAATATTCCTGCTCCTGCGTGCAACCACGAGCAGCGCAGGACGACGTCTGGACGTGCGGCAGGAAGCAACGCGGCTGGGTGATCCATGCTGCGGATCTCGCAGCGAGCTAGCTGTTGGTGCGCAGCAGCAGGGAATGGGATCCGAGGGCGCGATCCGTGGCACAATAGGGCGGTCGGATGACGCCTCCACCAGAACGGCAAGAGGGGGCGCTGCCACCGGTCACGATCACGACGACACCGTCTGCGCTGTCCACCGGTGGCACTGGCATAGTGGCATGAACATGAAACGAAACGCAGACGGCCGGACTTGTTTAATCCGCGGAGGAGTTTTTTAAAAAAGGGGCATTAGTCAGTAATCGCAAGGCGGCACTCACTACACTAGTACTGTACTGCTGGTACACTGCTCCTAGGATCCATCCATTATCCATGTGAGCGTGACGGCGACGTCGACGGTAGTTACGAGTTGTTCAGGGACGACGACGACGACGATGCTTGGTGCCGTGCCTCTATATTTATTTAGCCATCACTTCACTTCAGTATAGTAGTAGCAGTATCATTGACGAGCACAGAGCGCAACGAGGAGACGATCGAGATCTCGAATGCGTGCTTGGAAACGCGTAGCGCCTACGAGTACGTCCATGGCCAGGAATCCATAGCCTGCAAGTTTTTTCACTCTCTCTTCGTCACATCAAATCTTTAGACACGTGTATTGAGTATTAAATGTAGATAAAAAAATAATTAATTATACAATTTGATTGTAAATTACGAGACGAATCTTTTGAGCCTAGTTAGACCATAATTGAACAATAATTATCAAATACAAACGAAAATGCTACAGTGCCAAATACTGATTTCTAACCACAATCTAAACAAGACCTGCTTGCGAACGGATATGCATGTCCAATTGCTCACCCGTCTCTGCACGACTGAACAAAGCAAACTTGATCTGCCTTTTGGCCTTTCCCCCCTCGATCGGCATGGCTGCTGCGGGTGCGGACGGACCTACTGGGTTGTGGGTAGCGGTAGCGTCCAACCAAAGAATACATGGTAGTACGCCACTGGACGCGGAAAGCCAGCGCCCAGCTGCGGGGATTTTTTTTTATTTTTAACACTTTAAATTATTTTTAATTCTAACACTGTTTTTTTATAACACTTTTGGACGTACCTGTTTGCATGACGCGATAAATTCACGCTGCCGCGCCATGCACGGCGGCACGGCATGGAGCGGTCAACGGCCGCGGCGACCGCTGACGTGGCGGGACCGACCGCCACCCATCATGGTGCGACGAGGCTTTACTTACCCATTGCGGCGCTGGCTCCCTCCCTCTGTCTGTCTGCCCGACTCGAGGTGAGGCCACTCGCGGCACCCGCGTCATTGCCTCCTGGCTCCCCACGGTCGGCTGCCGACTTTCTCTCCCTTGCCGGCCCCCTCCCTACCTTCTCCGAAGCTCCTTCTCGGCCTTGTAAGGTAATGAAGCTCCTCCTTGGCCTCCACGGAGGATCAAAGGATTTTAATGAGTTGTTAGGGTATGAAAAAATATGAGTTCGTTATAACGTTGGATCGAAGGATTATGATTATGATTGCCAACGTTAAGATTAATTGATTAGTTAGAATTATAATTACCATGTATTCTAAAGTCAAATTTTATATGAATTTTGTTTGTTTGAGTTTGCATCTCAACTTTTATATGTGAATAAATATATGGACATATCGTTGATGTACCAAATTTTATTTTTTAGTGACCAAATTATAGTTTTTATATAGTTTGCATTTTTACATCTAAGATAGAGTTTGCACCAAAGTGTAGGTTATATTTTATTTATTGTAATGCAAATGGTTCTTATTGACATTAATTTGTGATGTTT